ACAAAAATGAAAAAAGTGGATAATTCACATTTTGGCCGGTGTTTTCCGATGGACAATGATTCCATAGAGAGTTTACTTTCTCACCTCCAGTTGATAAACCGTTAGCTACTGGTGACAACCCGAATATTCCAGATACGTATATATATATATAAATTTGGATACGTTACGTGAATGAGACATTCGTGATAATCCAAAGAAACGACTTAGATGAAACTCACAAATCAATAGACAAGAACATCGACAACAACATCAAATTCAGAAGAGAAGACGAATCTGAGCACGAAATCAGAATTTACGATGTCATAGTCCAGCATTATTGAAGAGAGCTAGGACACATCGCACCACTCCTACCTGGAGGAAAGTTGAAGAGAAATATCTCATTGACGTCTTCTAACCACAAAATTGATATCCACGAAGCTTCATCAAGAGGCGTCTACAGCCACCGTGCCAACCAACCAAATCAAAGGCCCGAATTGTGTTTATTTGATATGCATTTCTTGTTTGGAAGATGTCTAAGGGATTTTTCTTTTTTACTTTTTTAAGGTGGGAGTGAAGCAATGAGTTCTGGCTCCCTTCAGTAATGTTTATGGGGAAACCCTTTCGTGTGTTACTGGGTTGTTGTTGTTGCTGCTGTAGTTGAGTATTTGTTCTGTGTGACTGGATTTTCTGTCCTCTTACGTCTCTAATATTTCTGTGGTTGTTCGCTTGACTAAGACATGTAGAAATGGAATTTCGTGCTTGGATTCATCTTCTCCTGTGCATTTGATGTTGTCGTCGATTTTGTTGTCCATAAAGTTGTGAGTTTCATCTAAGTCAATTTCTTTGATTATCACACATGTGTCACCCGCGTAAGGCATTAAAATTGTGTGTTTCATCTTCAGTAGGAGTATGTTTTCAAGTCTTTGCATCACACCTTCTGCAACGTGAATTGATATGGACGATCTCATTGATGTTCCTTTAATTTCTTCACATATTTGTCCATTGAACTGAAAATACTTTGTCAGAAATAGGTGTATGCTTTCTATCCATTTTGAGTGTTGCATTTGTGAATGTTGTGGGAGGTTGTAGTAGCAGTTGTTGTTCATTTACTCCTGCATGGTTTCTTTTGCTTCTTTCGGACCAATCGCGTTCAAGTTTACCTGAAGAGATGACAAATAAACTCGGGGAGAATCATTGAAAGCTCACTTCAGATCGAAGCATGTATGCACTAAGAACACTGCCTAGTAAGTCAATGAAAGCTTCTCAGTTATACGATCCAGCTCACAGAACAGAACCACATCAATATATATATATAAGCAAATGAAAATTCAGAATAGTAAAATCTTATCTAACTGCATTTAGCATTTATTTTGAAGATGATGACTCCATTGGTATTGGTGCAGAAATTGTGAGCGCCGTGGTGGTATAATGTCAAATATCAAAGAAATTGATGATTCAGGATTAAAAATTGGATGACAAGGTTTCGAGCATACATTTCTTCCACTCTTCATCATATCAGATGAGCCACACGGATTCGCAATTTGTCTGTTGTATATATATATATATATTCTCTCTCTCTGTCTCCCTCCCTCTTCTCCTTGTTGTTCACTGACACTTTCCAAATCTCCTTTAGATATGCGTTGTATCACCTCAATTGATTCCACGTGTGAGTTTTTGAATCGATTAAAATGCGTCCAGTGATTAATTTCTCTGTCTTGCCATATGAATATTAGTATTATATTTTCAATAACTTCACCCTATTCCACTGTGTGGTATCATTACACTCAGGTGAATGCGATGCAATGCAATGCAATTCAGTGACTGAGCTCTGCTTCTTCTAGGTTGTCTAACTTTGCAGTGTCAACCATTCTACGTGAAGCTGAACATTTTATGTTCCACTAATGTGAAGTTGACGGCGATCTACTAGTTTGACTGACCTATGTAAATGACTTCCGTAGCAGTCATTATATTGTATTTGTTAAATTATATGTAATTTTTCTTTATCGGATTAACCGAGTCCTTAATGTGACAAAGTTTATCTGTGATAGAGTTGGTTGGTTGGTTTAAATGGCACCTCGGTTAATTATAGCTTCATTGAGAATCCTACAGTGTTGATCTATGATCGCCTAAATCTGCGTCATTATTATAGACTGCTTAAATTTATCATTTGCAGATCACTGTTCCATGACGCAAATTCAATCGCAATTTACTTCAGTTTTAATTGATTATTTCAACACTGTAGTTTCGATGTGGAACTGAGATTTTTCAGATCAAACACAATATATCTGATCTCCTGGACACCGTAAACAATGATCGAGAAACTAAATGCAAACGCATATAACTATATGTTGTTGACCTGTCACCAATTGATATGATCGTGTCAGTGGTTACTATGACCGATTGGACTAATGCGTATGGGTATAATAATACTGACACAATGGACAATTCAACTGATATGGTAGATACACCTATTCGTTCATGGTATCTTCCGCTTCACTGAGCCACGTTAATATCAAAAGATAAAGGCTGGCGTCTGTGACTATTAGGATTCAGTTTATTTAGGGCATATTTGTATATTTCTTAACCACATTGAAATCTGCCCCGGGGCAGTGGAAAGTAGATTGTTCTGACTGGTGGGCAATCATCAGGTTAGGCTGACGATTAACTGGACCAAGGTGAAAGAAAAAAATATGATCACATAATGTATCATTCACCTATTCCTACCACTTTATACTACTCATTAATTGTGACGAGTAGTTGCATAACACTTACATCACCTTCGGTTTCCAAAAGAAAATATGGTGAAATAGTCATCTACAACTGTTTAAACTGACAGCTAATTTTCAGATTCTGGATTTGGTCGATGATGTCACCTGATCACCTATGTAGCTATCCACAGATCGGATGATTTGAAATGACTCAGGTGTTTTTCAACTAAGTCGAACCTAGTACACCTCTGACGAGCTCAGCCTGCAACGAACGAAATGTACGTTTACTGGTGCTAAGACAATCTTGATTTGACTGTCAAACAGTACTGGTTGATTTGAGTAGTATACAACTACTGCTTATGCCAAACAATCAGTCGTATGTAGTTCCATTCATTTACTCAGTCATTTATTCAAGCTTTAACTGATAAACTTTAGTTGGTAGAATTTTTAGGCTTTTCGTCACATCCTTCCTGTCAACTATTTTTCAAGATGTAGTCATCACTCCGGTGTGTGTATAAAAAGCTTTTTTATTGTTACAGCGAATGTTTTACAAGCAAACGCTTTTATCACCCTTATTATACGCCATAACTGACAGGTTTCAGAAGTACCCTGTTAAAAATGTAATCATAAAATTTCAGTCTTGTTATGCATATAACAATATTAGACTGATCCTTCTGCTAGTTTGTTTTAAAAAAAGCATTAAAAGTCCCAGTGAATTTTTCACGCACTTATTGTTATGACTCCTTTTTTCTCTCAAGAAATAATAACTGGAAGAAGAAGTCCTCGTCAAAAACAAGCATCATGTGGTATCATCCCTCCCTAACTGTTAAACTTCGCTCCGCTCTGACTTGCACGAATTATGCCCATCTGCGCCGGCTGCCTCCTAAACATAATCAAATTTGCCGGAAACAATTAAAGAAGGAGCTAGAATTCTGCCGGCGTAAAATTTAAGTAGAAATCATGGGCGTATGAGTTGGTTGCCACGCATAAATGACTTGAAAACTAGCGTCTTTTTAATGCTATATAACTGCAGATTTTTTGAATGTAGGGTGTCTCTTGGAACAGGTTTTCATTTTTCAGTCATTCATTCTTCACTTTTTGTATCGAGCGCCATCAGATGTTTTTCGCATTTAAACAAAATTATTTTTTCTTATTCAGTAAAAGAATAGTTGGGTATAGATTTTTTTGAAAAACAACGGGTTCAATTATGTTTGAAAGCTAGTAAGTGGAACAATTTCCAGTGTGTGACTGACTGGAACCTCGAAAAAATAGAGAAGATTTGTAGCCCTTCAGTTGGATGATTTAGATTTGTTTGTGTACCCTCTGAGGAAATCTGGTTGTAGATTTAATTGAAAAGCTTTCACTATCCAACTTCTACTTACAACATCGCTTCAAAACAGGTTTTAGTGTGAAGAAATGAACTCATTTCAATTCTCTCTCGATGAATGTTGATACAGTTGTATGTTTCCTGATATGCAGCCATTGTCGTGATTCGGTCTTTGTTGATTTACATCTATCTCTCTAGATCATTTCCATTCACTTGGAATTTCAACCTTCTTGTCATGTGATTTATTGTTTGTCCTATTATTTGGCAGATTTGATGCAGAGTAAGTAGTGTGTTTGTCAAACGCTGACTGATTCTTCTGAGTACCAAGTAGGCTTTTAGAAGTTTCATGAATACATTCTTCGTGTGTCCCCTCTTTAAGATTACTGCATTATGCCAATCAAACTGGTGACGGTAATTATCTACATGCATCGATATGCAACAGGAATATACATCGTGTTTTTTCACAGTTAACTTATGTTCATGGATTTGGACATGAAGGCGATGCCTACTGTGAGTGGTGTAGTGTTCATCGCAGTTCATGCAAGCCATTTATTTAGTGAATAGTGTTAATAATCTTATCTTCTTTCACTGATGAATCTTTTCTTTTGCTTTGTTTATTTCAAATGGTGTTAGTATTCTAGCCATTAGTTATTTCAGAGACATTCTTTATATATGGTACAGTGAACTGGTAGTCTTCTGGTCTTTGATGACGGTTTCTTGTTGTTAGTATTATGATCTTAGTTTAAACTCTTGTTGATGAAAGCAACTGTGTGGATATTCACTGATTTGAAGATAGTTAGTAGGTATTTCTACCCCAATATCTTCAACATGGGAGTGCTACAGTGTATTTGGATTCTTTTTAAACAATGTCTCACTACATCTGACCTCTAAAAGTGTTGTTTTATGAATTTCGTGCTATATAGTGCATGGCTATTAATGAAAGTATTTCAAAAGATTATTATTATCATTATTGTTATCCAACTTACATCCGGCTATCAGGTACACAAATTGCACTGTCCTACAAGTTTTTGCTCTTTTTACACTGACCATACGTAGCCGTATAATTCCAATCACTGCTGAGGTGGCACTGCATATTACGCCAATTATTGTCAGTAGACATGATGTTTCACATTTGGCTATGAAGTGAATGGAAGCAGGGAATGAAATGCCGGTGATGAATTAAACAAAAGAGCGAAAAGTATGTTTAAGCAAACTGCTGTTGAGACTATACTGTTCAATCACCTGTTTCAAAATTTAAATAGGTTGCTAAGTATAAATGATTGCGTCATCAGTCGAATTTTAAGGCATTTCCTCTGCGTTGGGTGGAGATTTGGTGCTCGTGTCACGGAAATTATTACCCGGAGTCACACGCAGACTCTTAGCTACAACTATCAACGGAATGGTGTTGGTAGAATAGCTGTTAGGACGCTCACCGACCACGCACATGGATCGGGGTTCGATCCCCGGCCGACACACTTCTTTACCTCGCTAAGCGAGAAATAAAGCTGGTAAAGAGAAAAGGTTGGGCATGAGACTAGCAACCCCATCCTGTAGAAATAAACACTGCTACAGAAACTTCATGTCTCTAGATTGAAGCCCTATGTTCCAACGGGAACGTGAAGGAATAAAATAAGAATCAACGGAATGTAATATCTGAAATAAACTTGTCTTAGTGGAATGTAATTCCACTACCGTGCACTCAAGTTCTGCAGTTACATGAAAAGATGTTATGTCAATAAGATACGTCATGTGAAAGATCCAATAAAAATGATGGGTAAAAACAATGTAATTTACAAAGTATTTTGTTTTCAAGAGTTAGTTCGTAAGGATTAGTTTTGTTTTTACGAGTTGATCAGTTAGAGAACCACTGAAAACCAGGGGTGCCGACAGTCAGCTGTTTCATTCTAGTTTCGGGAATCATGGGCAGTACGCACCCATTGGGGTTCGAACCCAGGACCTTCCGTTACAAGGCAAGGTCGTATACCATTCAGCCACTAGGACCCAATTCAATGGCCAGTGCATAAATCCTAACTTCTACCGATTCGTGATTTATTGAGACCACCAAACAATGTCGTCGGTGAGAACTCCATCCCCACTGGTCAAAATTTCTCACTAGAACTCCAGGAAACTCCGTCATGTAGCAAGTCACTAGCGAGCATCACATTAATTTTTAAGAGTTGGTTTGTAAGGATTAAATTTATTTTTACGAGTTTGACCACGTATGATTCCCAAACTAGGATGAAACAGCTGTCTGGTAGTAGTCCTTGGTTTTTCAATGGTTCTCTAACTGATATCAGTCTGTGGTCGAACTCGTAAACATATTTTGTCCCGAGTTTCCGAATAAATATGTGGGTCATACATCCACAGCACTCAAAATAAGAGTGAATGAATATAAACGCCTAAATAAACACTAACCACAAGGAACAAGTCATATAACAATTTCGAAAATATTCTTCTACAGCTGCACATGCAAGAGACAAAAACCACAATATTGACTGGAACAATGTGCTTTTGCTTAAAGCAATTGGCATTTTGTGTGATTACATTTCCACACATAATTTGTCATCCCTTTCCCCACATCTTATTTTGAGGGATTCATTACTTCTATGTACTAGCAATGTAAGGTTTACATTTTGAAGGCGACTGTTTCCGCCAGTTTGATGATGTTGCCATGGGAAGTCTGTTAGGGCCTCTTTTAGCAGATATCTACACGTCGTACATTGAGAGTTTATAAGAGGATTTAATCGAAAATGCTCCTCTTTATAGAAAGTATGTAGATGATATTGTAATCATAAGTGATGGGCCTTGTTCTGTCAGCTCAACTTTAAATCGAATGAATGAAGTTCAGAATAGCATGTCACTTACGTCTGTAGAAGAGGAAGATAAAAGTCTATCTTTCCTTAGTCGACGGCTTGATGGATCAATAAAACGATCTATTTATAGGAAATCTACCTGGACAGGACAGTATCTTGTTTATAACAGTTTCTGCCTTGCTCGATACAGAAGAGCCTTAGTGAGCGAGGTGCCTCTTCAGTAGAATCCGACGAATATGCACTGAAGACACACTTGGTGAGGAAGGAAGAAAGTTGACACAAACTCTGGTTGATAACAATGGTCCACACAAGTTCATCAGGAGATATTATAAAGTGTTCAGTGAAACACTAGAACCCACTCTCCAACTCCCCCTAAGAAAGACGTGTACATCAAGCTACCCTATATGAGGAATCATAGCAGCTTGATGAGTAGACAAAGATTGAACGCTGCTACTAGAAAAACTTTTATACAGCTAACATCATAATAATTGAGAATGTGAAGCCAATATATCCAGATAAGCCCTTTGAACATGCGAAAAATGGTGTCATATCCTACTGTATTTACCAATTTGAATGTACGTGTGGACACACATACAAAGATAGGGAGGACTAATCGATCTCTGCAAGTAAGGGCTGGTTTCAGAGCATATTCCTAAATGGCTCCAGAAGCAAAAAGAATCCTGAGAACCCACCAATGTTGAGGACAGGAGTCCTAGCTCCTCTACTGTGAAACGTATTATAGAGATAGGACATAAAATTGATGATCACATATCTTTTAAACCTATCAATGTAACGTGTTTGGTGAGTATCCTAAAGTTTTTGGGAGCCCTAGCTGGATGCTAGTAAGTTTAAACCACCTTTATGCGTACAAAAACAATTAGTCATCATACTAAACCTTCCTTGGCAAACTTTGTTTTGACGATATATTTATGAGTACAAACCGTAAATGTGTGAATTAAAGAACAAAAATTTTCCAATAGTTGGTGTGAACACGGGAAGTAATTTTGCTCGAAATATTACCAATAACAACACTTATTATTGTGTGTAAACTATTGAAATATAATAATACTTTATTTGATCTAATCCACAATGCTCAAACTTTTTACTGACAATAATCATCTCTGTTATTTGTTTTAGTGATCTGCACTGTTATTTGGACCTTCAATATGTCCTTTTAACTTGACCTAAGTCTATTTCTATTTCTCACCCCTTAACTCTTTATGAATTTCATATATATGTACTCCTATGACGAGTTCGTGTGTTTGAACAGATTTTTCGAAATGTGTTGCGTAAAAACACACTACACTATTCAGACAAATTAATTCTTCTTATTGCTTTGTCTAACAATGTTTGAATTCTGACAACTAATATGAACAAATGGAAAGAGAAGTTCATCAGAGAATCTATATTCATTAGGGTCACACCGGATACATGTCACAAGGGTGACTCAGCACACCTGTCAACAACCTGGAATATGATTCTGAATACTAAAAAATGAATGTACAAAAAAATGAACTATATATATGAGTACAAATCATAAATGCATGAATTAAAAACAAAACAATTCCTACAGTCAGGGCAGTAATTTTGCTCGAAATATTACCGAACAACAAAACATCATTGTGTGTAAACCAATGAAATACAATTATACTTTATTTGGTCGATTAAACAATGCTCAAACTTTTTACTAACATTAACTTACACTAATACAAATCATGTTTTATTGTGTATCTTTCGGTTGAAAATAATAACTACCGTGAGGTATTTTCGCGTATACCGTGTAGCACACGGAATAACAAATAAACCAGATATAAAAAAGTGCTGATGCAAAATCTTTTCATGTAAGTGTATGAAATTTGCACTGACTGTGATAGAGTGCCATTCCACATGCCATAAGTTTATTTCAAATACTACATTCTGTGGGCAGTTGAAATTGGAAAGTTATGTGACAGAACAGTCTAGTTGTGAACATAGTAACAGTAAACAATAGAGACCTACGTCAAATCACCTGGAATCAATCAATCATATAACTGCTCATCAATACGAATGATTGCGTTTCGAATAGTCCTCACAGCAAGTTTCATGGTATATCTAATATACTTGGCAAGATTCACTCTCACCATAATCTCCATTCCAATATATTTGTGAAAATATTCATTCTTTTTTACACCTTAAATCATCTTAATCCTTTCAAAGAAAGCCTAGTATACCTGGCTGACGACTTTGCTTTTTTAAGCCACCAACTGTATCGTTGAGTCACATGCTCGCATAAATTTCCCTAGAGCCCGTTTAATACTTTCTCAAACATTCCACTCAAGTTTATCGATGTGAAGTACTTTTATCGAATGGAATCGTGGAGCTATATTTTTCAAAATAGACTTTTCTTATCTTTCGCTACATCCTATCGCTACAGTGAAAATCAAGAAACGACACCCAGAAGGAGATAAAAATTCCCATTGGGATACTTGAGAGTTGTAAAATAAATCACGTTTTATTCTGTATGTTTTGGGTGAGAATAAAAGCTGTTGTGAGGTATTTTCCCGCTTAGTCTAGCAAAGGCTTCAGTACTACACAGTGATCCGGATTTCACAACGGATTGACAAGGTTTCGGGCATAAATTTCTTCCACTCTTCATCATATCAGATGAGTCACACGGATTCACAATTTGTCTCTTAGATATATGTATATATATTCTCTATTTCTTTGTCTCCCTCCCTCTTCTCCTTGTTGTTCACTGACACTTTCCATATCTCCTCTAGGTAGGCATTGTATCATGTCGGTCGATTCCATGTGTGAGTTGTTGAATCCACAAAACGGCATCCAGTGATTAACTTCTCTGTCTTGCTATATGAATATTAGTATTATATTTTCAATAACTTCACCCTATTCCACTGTGTGGTGTCATTACACTCAGGTGAATGCGATGCAATGTAATGCAATGCAGTGGTTGAGCTCTGCTTCTTCTAGGTTGTCTAATTTTGCAGTGTCAACCATTCTACGTGAAGCTGAATTTCTATGTCCCGATAATGTGAAGTTGACGGTGAATTACTAGTTTGACTGACCTATGTAATTGACTTCACTAATAGTCATTATATTGTTGTTGTTCCCGTGGGTTCATAGTGGAACATATGGCTTCAACTGCACGTCTACACTTGCTTCTGTCTTCTGCTGTACTTTTCACCTGCATCCATGTTAGTCCATACTGTTTCATCTCCTCCTCACACGATCTCCTCCATGTCACCCTTGGACATCCCACTCGCCGCTTCCCTTTCGGGTTACACTCGAGGGCCTGACGCACAATGTCACTCAACGGCCTCCTCAGA